ATTCTGATCAGGAAATTGGAAATAATTTGGCCAATTTTGAAGCCAAAAGAGCAGCTGAACAATCTCAAATCATGTCCTTAATCCCTGATGGCAAACTAACAATTGAAAAATCTAAACCTAGGTATTCAAAAGAGGACAGAAAATTTATTGAGGATCTAAAAGGACAGGAAAATGAAGAGGGTTGGGTTCAGATACCTGATGGGCAAATTGTAATTCCCTATAACCAACTCTGAAAGTTAGTTCAGGAAGAACATAATAAAACCCATTGGGGAAGCAACTCTTTCTATAAATACTTAAGCAAACAAATTGTAGGAAGAAATCTATATACTATAGTTCAATTAGTGACAAAACAGTGTCAGCTACATCTTAAGAATAATTCTAAAACTGAAAATAGAAATCAAATTGGGACAATTGGGAGAGGAATTTATCTGGGACAGCAATGGCAAATAGATTTTTCTGAATTACCGAGAAAAGGAGGCTATCGATATTTGTTGCTGTTAACAGATAGTTTTTCAGGCTGGCCAGAAGCATTCCCTTTTAGGATAAATAACGCAAAACAAGTGATTAAGACATTATTTAACGAGATAATACCTCATTTTGGGGTACCAGAGGCAATTTCTTCCAACTGAGGCTCACACTTTAGTGCAAAATAGTTACAAGAAATTAGCAAAAAATTAGAAATTGATTGGCAACTACATGTTCCATACAAGCCTCAGGCCAGTGGGCAAGTAGAAAAAAAGAACCATCTGATTAAACAACAGATTAGTAAAATATGTCAGGAAACGAATTTATATTGGTACCAAGGTTTACCACTCACTCTATTAAGAATTTGAACTAAACCCTCGTCGAAAGAAGAGCTTAGTCCATTTGAAATTTTATATGGAAGACCATATCAGTCCCAATTTAAAGGAGAGAGTCTTCAGGAAGTGGGAGAAGTCTATCTCCAACATTTTCTGATCAATCTGGGAAAACAATTGGAGGAGATAAATAAGAGAATAGTAGAGACAAGAGCAAGAGGTTTGGATTATCTGATTCACCCTTTCAGATCTGAAGACTAGGTTTATGTTAAGAATTTTTCAGGATATCCTCTACGGGCGAAGTGGAGCAGACCATACCAGATATTATTGACCACCTTTACAGCAGTGAAGATAAAGGAACAACCTGCTTGGATACATTATTCAAGAATAGAGAAAGCACTAGAGCCAGAGAAGACATGGAGGATAGGGGTAAGGCATTTATTTCAGAATTTGATTTGGAAAGCTTGCCTGTAAGACGCAGTGAAAGCTATGCAGGGTTGGAGCTAAGAGGGTACCTGTTTGTATTCAGAAGCCTAGGTGTCTGCTTGTAAGTCATTAGCGAAAGCTGTTGCTGGGTTGGACTTAAGATTTGTTTTTGTAATTACCTTTTGAGTATTTTGTTGTAATGGCAACAGGATTTGTAAAATTGTGTAGAAGTCCTGGAAATTTGATGACTGATCAAATTTCCAAATTTGATACCAAAAACATTGCCATTGGGGTGCTTGTTAGCACACTGGTGAAATTTGCATGAGGATTTATGCAAAAGCCAGATGATTGAATATTGTAACCATTGGTGGCCTTTGTATGTTTTGAAGTATCAGGGAAAATGGCCAAAAAAATGATCTTTGAGTTATAATACTGTTTTGCAGTTAATGTTGTTCTGTAAAAGAGAAGGCAAATGGAATGACGTGACATATGTAGATTTGTTCTTTTATTTGACACAACGAATGGATTGGCAGAATAAATGTAAGTTAATCAGTTGAGATAATTTGGTGATGGCTTTAACTTTGGAAAATATGAAAACAAAGAGTTGTTGTTCAGCTTGTGATATTGGAAACAGATGTATTAAGTGTGTAGCACCAAGAGAGGATGAAATGGAATTAGAATTAGAATCCCCACAGGAGGGACAGAATTTCCCTCCTTCACACGTAAGGGAAAGAAGTGTTGAAGCAGAACCAGATAGGAGTGGAATGGGGGATGAGATAGGAGAAGTAATAGTTCATACTCCAGTGTCTCAAAGAACTAGACAACAAAACTGTCATAGTGTACGCCCAGCTGGTGACTCAGAACCATGCAGCTGCTTGCTCACTCCCCCCCTTCTTTGTGCCCCCATCCTGGGCTCAGCAGTAGCAGTCATTTTTTCTCCTTCTTAGTAGATGGTACAGTGCTGTGTTTTTGACATTTGACTTGGGAACAGCACTGATAACACCGATGTTTTTATTTACTGCTCAAATGTTTAGTCTGGCCAAGGACTTTCTGAGTGTCATGCTGTGCCAGGGAGGAAGGGAAGCTGGAAGGAAGCAGAGACAGGACACGTGACCCAAACTAGCCAAAGACGTATTCCATACCACAGCACGTCATGCCCAGGATGTAACTGAGAGTTACCTGGAAGGGCTAGTTCACTGCAAGGTTGGACTAGGTTTTGGTCAGTGCTCTGTCAGGTGGGGGGAGGGTGAGTTATCAGTCGGCAGGTGGTGAGATGTATTCTCTTCCCTTGCTATTTCCCTTATCATTATTATTATTGGTGTTATCAGTAGTGGTTTTTGTGGAAGCGTGGTTAGCAGGCAAGGGTTACGTTCCCATGGCTGAACTTGGCCAAGGACCAGTTTTGTAAAAGTCAGTAAGAAACCCAGCTCGGTAAAACACCAGCTGTGCAGAAGGATAAGCTGACCTTGTAGTTAATGAGTATCCTGAAGGGAGGAACAAGGATGTTAGAAGAAGGGATGTAACCACAGGAGTTTCCCAAGAATGTGTGTGTGTAGCAATCTAGCTCTCTATATACCCTAGGCTTAAGCAGAATAAACGGATCACTTTATCAATCATATTGGTTGTGCTGTGTTCCCTCCGCATCGCGACAACATAGAGTCTCCGACAGGTTTTGTGTTATACCTTAGTTACAGGACGGTTCGTATCTCAACCCGTGGGAGTTACATTCTTTCAGTTCTCCTCCCCATCCCTCTGGGAGCAGGGGGGGGGGGGGGAGGGGGGAAGTGAGAGGGTGACTGCGTGATTTATGGCTGAGCTTAAACCACAACAGCCCCCCACTCCCGCTTCTCTATAAAAAGACAGAATAATATAGCAAAGGAATTTGCAAAGGTTATAGAAAAGGGAGGACTTGATGTGAAGAATAGTAACGGACTAAGGAAAGAGTTAAGAGTTTTCTTTAAACTATACGTTGTCTTTACTTAGAATAGGGAACAGGTATGTTCTTGTTCTTGCCCATTAAGCTATAACCCAGAACAGAATAGGTAGCCAAAACACATTGTTTAAAATCAGAGATCCTTTTCCCTCAAGAAGATGAATGTCTGACAAGAATATGTTTCAACTAGTTTCTATAAGACTTGAGGTTGCCAGCTGGGGAAATTGTACCAAGGGTGAAAAGTGCATAGCGAGGAAGATTACTTACATCTTTGTCATGGTTTAACCCCAACCAGACAGCTTTTTCACTCACACCCCCCCATTCTTGCTCTCCCCCTACTCCTGGAGGGATGGAGAGGAGAATCAGAAAGAATGCAACTCCCATGGGTTGAGATAAGAACAGTTTAGTATCTAAGGTATAACACAAATCACTATTGCTACCACCAATAATAGTAATGATAAAGGAAATAACAAGGAAAGAGAATACAACACCTCATCACCAGGCGACCGATAACTCGCCCCCCCCCAGCCCGACCAAGCACTGACCGCTACCCCTTCCAACCCTGCAGTCTCCTAACCCTTCCAGGTAACTCCCAGTTACATCCTGGGCATGACGTGCTGTGTTATGGAATACCTCTTTGGTCAGGTGTCCTGTCTCTGCTTCCTCCCAGCTTCCCTCCTCCCTGGCAGAGCATGAGGCTCACAAAGTCCTTGGCCAAACCAAAACATCACTGTTATGAGCTCTGTTCCCAGCCTGAAAGTCAAAACACAGCACTGCACCAGCTACCAAGAAGGAGAAAAAATGACTGCTACTGCTAAACCCAGGACATTATCCACCCCTTATTCCATACCATTCATGTCATGCTCAGATCCCACATTTTCAATATACCATCACTCTTATCTAAGTGCACTCTTATCTTAGTCCATGGACCAGTCCTATAAAGCTGCTGAGTCCATCTGGTCCATGATGTCAGGCTCCATCTCTTGTAACAGTCTTTCAGAGCACGAGAGGCTGTGTGCAGTGTTCACACACATGAATAACCTGGGCAATAGTGTCCATTGCTAAGTCCACCCCTTGATCATGAGTCCATCTCTATGTTGCATCTCTGCTCTGATGGACTTAAGGGTCATGGGCCCACCAGGCTCAAAAGAATTCACTGTCCCCTTCAGCAGTTTCTGCAGCTTGTTGCTGGGGCCTCCATACAGCTGCCTTCCATCTCCAATGGTTCCAAAGCACTGGAGGGGCCCAGTGGACCCATGCTGTCCCACACACCCTGTCACTCATGACTCTCCAGACTTGGGGAAAATCTCCTGGTCCTCCTATATCATCGTCTAACCCCAGACAAGACCCAAACCCGACCCTGCTTAAATTCTGAGATCAAACAAAATGGTGGTGGGTAAAACACAGTCTGTATGTGTGCCAACATGCTGATCCCCATCACAATCAGCAGGCAGGTCCCAAGGGTACCCAAAGGCCATTTAAAACCTTCAGAACTCTCAAGCGATGCTGCTGTACTTGTCACTGGGGCTGGTGTAGCTGCTGTGCTTGCCGGCTCTCCCACCACCAGCTTCTCTTTTCCTGGGTCCAGATCTTCCTCCTCTGCCTTGCTGGGAAATGCTGCGCGGTCTCCTGCATCCTCCTGGCGCTCGGCGGGCGGCTTCCGGGGAATGCTCTCGGCAGTCACGAGGCTCGACCGCGGGGCTGCTCGGCTGCTCGGCTTCTCCGCGGGGCTCCGCGGCTGCTCCTCCCCCCCCCCGAGGAAACACCCCCCCCATCCCCTCCAGCTCTAGAAGCTATCCGTCATACAGAAGGCCCTACCTCTTCCGGGTCTCTTCTGCTAGGTCACTGCCTCCTCTCTCGCTTGCTCTCTCTTTTGTGTGTTATAGCAACAGTTGCTTTGTGAATCAAGTACCAGTCGCCGTAGTCCTGGTGACTGTTACTCATCAACAACAACCGCTGGCCTTCATATCCTTCCTCATCGTCATCTAAAACACCCATCACCAACAAGAACAACAACACAGCTTTCCACGGTTCAGGTGAATGTAACTGTTCTGTACAGGCTTGCAATCCCGCCTTTCTATCCCTTTTTTCTCCTTTCCTTCTCCTCCAACCTTTACCTCCTCCCTCCTTGCAGCATCCAGGCTGGGATTACTCCATTGGGCTTCACTATTGATTGAGGGGGGAGGGGGGAGGGAGAAGGAGAAGGGAGAAGTCAGAAGTCTGAAGTCTCTAGTCTCTATCACTTTCTTTCTCAGCTTTTCTTCCTTCCCATGTTATAATATGGGAAGAGACATTATTTTCAAAGCGGAAGAAATGATGTAAATTGCCCTGTAGTTGTTTATTATGAAGGGTCTTTACCCCCCCCCCCCCCCGCAGTTTTTATCTTACATGCTGCAGTCAGTACTTATAATGTTCCAAAGTATCTTGTATATCAATTGGAAAGGCCAGTGGGTAGCATAGCAGAGAGATTAAAGATCATTTAAAACTGGCTTGAAAGTGTGATTAGTAGTTAATAGTAGAGGTTGAAGGGCTAACTGGTAGTATATAAAATCCTTCAGTGAAATTAGTTGTTATTTCCATAAACCAAGCTGTCTGGTTGCAAGTGTAATTTAATTTTAGAATTGCAGTGCTGTTTTTCTGAATACCTAACTTCATGTTCTCATTAACATTTTAATTTTATTTAAAAAGCATAATTGTTCTACATGGAATATTTGATTGTATTATTTTCCATGCACTGATTCGAAGCCTTTTTGAATACTCCAGCTCATATTACTTGTAGAATTTAACCTGTTAGTATAGAAACCACTGAGTTTTCAATAAACTCAAAGGAATTGTGCATATTTAGAACACATAATGCTGTATGTTTGTCTTACTTTATTAGAAAAAAATTGGTTGTGAAGGGCTAAAGAAGTCTTTAATGTATAGTTACATAGGAAAAAGAGCTACCTGTGTACCCTTTTCTTAATTAAGGTGATCCAACCATGCCATGTTGTTGATTCATGTGGTTTTCTGTTATTTAGTTTCTGTATCAAGTTGTATTATCCTAGTAGATGTTCTAAAATAGTTTCATAGTCTATTAACCCTAGCTTATACTCTGTTAGGAAGTGAACCTCTTGTACATGCTATCTTATGACCATAGTTTCTTTCTGCTACCTAATATAAGTGCTATGTAGAAAAATGACAGAATGGATCTAATGTGGGTTTTAGCCTATTTTTAAAATACCTTAAAAGAAGAAAAACACTGATAACGGTGTGACTGTCTAGTTCTTCACAACTCTTTAGTCAGTGGTTGTATTTTTTTTCCCCACTGATTCTTAATATAAATCCTATATGTATTTCCTGTGTAATCGCTTTACTTGGATTTACTCTCATTTCTCTCTCTAACGTTTAGTGCCATGACGAAATGTTTAGTTGCCTCTTACACCTATACTTACATGGCACAACCAGGGATATTTTAATCTTTGGTGATTCCTTTTTGTTTTATTACATCATCAGTCCTTTTGAATTTAACCTAATTTTGAACTAACTATAAAGTAATGTTGTATTAGGAAAATAATTATTCATATTTTAGAATTACTGTTTAATAACATGCAGATTTAAGTCTGTGAAATGGAAGACAGGATACTAGAATTTTAAAGGGATATTTGGAATTCAGATAATGGGGGAAGCTAAAGAACATCCTTGGAACGTTTTGCTTATTTAGATAAAATATCAGTCTTTAAATCTTTTTTGTGTCAATATTTTCTTTGCTTTTGCAATTTATGTTTTAGTCCTACTTTGCTTTTTTTTATTATTGCTGATAGTTTTGTCTCTCTGTATATTTTATACTTTTTTTTTTTCTGTATTTGCTGGCACTCCTTTGCAATCTTTATTAATCTCAATATGGTTCCTTTTTGCTGAATTGTTTCCTATCCACTTTCCTTTTCCTTCTTAGGTGTTTTGCTTCCACATGATTTAAGGTGTCACAGTTTACTTGGGGGTAGTTGGACGTGGCAAGGCTGGGAAGCATTGTATATCAGACATCTCTGAAGTATAGGCAGGGATAGCCTACAGCTACTCTTTTGTTAATCAGTTTTCTTCTGGATTGTAAACATTATCTGCTTCATCTCAATATAGACAAAATTGACATTTAAAATTTATTTTGAATACGACTTCTTCAGCCAATTGCAAATTACTAGGAAGGATGCTTATTCAGCAGTTCAGGATCTCTTTTTCACACCAGCAACCTGAAGATTGGTTAAAACATCTTCAAATGCATTTTGAAAATAATAATGTTGAGGAATTAGCCTTTCTGTCAAGTAGGAGAATCTGAGTTGTAAAGTTATCTTTTAGATAATTTAGTAACTATCTCTAAGTGTGTTTAGTTGATATTTGCTTAGGTTTTTGCAGAGTGTATTAAAGCCTGCCCCCTTTCTGATATAGTAGTGCTGCTGTACCTGGTTTGACATCCCTGTTTTACCAGAAAAAAAATTCAGGGATTTGCTAAAACCTAATATTGGTGTAGCTGATTGATTTATGTATGTGTTTTGTGGGTTTTCTTGTTTGTTTTTGGTTTTTTAGTATCTGTGTTAATATATATGTGTTATATATTTTATGTATATGTGTATATGTATACATTTAAATACCGGTGATTGAGGGGGTTTAACTTTTTATTTTAACATGCCCTATTCTTGGAATTGCAGAGAAGTTAATTGTCCTGAAAGTTCTGGGTGACTGACACTATTTCTAGCCAGAAATAGAATAAATTTAGTGAAGATACACCAAAACCAAAACATATTGATGCTGGAAAATGTTCAAAAATCATGTGTCGACAGCAATATCCATTTCACTGTAGGTACATCTTTATTGTGTAAATGTGAAGCAGCTGTTCAGATAGAGTGAGCATCTGCATATGTGTCAAACCCTGCTCTATGTACTTGCGTCAAGTACTTAAAAGTTTGATGCTGAGGAGTGAGGGAAGGAGAAGGGATTTGAGTGGAAAAGACTAAAGGGAGCATTGAACTTGGACAGTTTGTACTGTAGAGGCATACTAGTCTACCAGATGAGGGGGGAGTGCTGGTTTAATCTTGGTAGGGTCTGGTTCTGGTTGAATTTCTTCATGTGGGGAAAACTTAGTCAACCAAGCTGTCTCACCAAACAGATCAAGGCTCTATCCCATTTTATATAAAAGCCCCTATATGTCTGCAGAAGTCTCATTTACTTTAGTTACATTCAAGGGTCTATCTGATGGTACCAGTAAAGGGTTACTTATGGAACAACTGAAGTTGGACAGCATTGGCAACTGCTCTTTGCTGAAGTCCCTCCTGCCTCTAGTATATCCTTGAGCAACACAGAGGAAAACGCTTGCTCTCAGTAGAAACTAGATCTGGCAAATACCAAGGCTGTAAAATATAGTTCAGACAATCAATAGCTAGCTTTAAGTGCAGAAATTTTTACAGTATAATATATCTAGATGTCTTTAACTGTAGCTGTGTAGATATAATATTTTTAGACAGTTTTCCAAGCTGTTTTCCATCACTTTTGAGATCATAATCAATAGGTTAGCTTTGAATGTTGCAGTGATCTGGTCTTGAAAGTAATGAAATGTAGCAATTACTGTACTTTTAAGTCTCTGTAGTTATCTCTTTGCCTGTGTTGATGGAAATGGGTGGTTGATTCTGGACTCTAAATTGTTACTGTGTTCTTTACAAGGCTAAATCCTAAAAGTGCAGGAGATCATAGAATCATAGAATGGTTTGGGTTGGAAGGGACCATAAAGATCATCTAGTTCCACCCCCCCGCCTTAGGCAGGGACACCTTCCATTAGACCAGGTTGCTCAAAGCCCTATCCAACCTGTCCTTGAACACTTCCAGGGTTGTGGCAGCCACAGCTTCTTTGGGAAACCTGTTCCAGTGTCTCACCAGGCTCATAAAGAATTTTTACTAATCTAAATCTCCCCTTTTTCAGTTTAAAAGCATTCTCCCTTCTTCAGTCATTACCTGCCTTTGTAAAAAGTCCCTATTCAGACTTCTTGTAGGCCCCTTTTAGGTACTGGAAGGCTGATAGAAGGTCTCCCTGGAGCCTTCACTTTTCCAGGCTGAACAAACCCAACTCTCTCAGCCTGTCTTAATTGGAGGGACGTTCCAGCCCTCTGGTCATCTCCGTGGCCCTTCCTCTTGTGTTGGGGGCCCCAGAACTGTACACAGTATTCCAAGTGGGATCTCACAAGAGCAGAGGGGCAGGATCACCTCCTTGGACCTGCTGGTCACGCTCCTTTTGATGCAGCCCAGTACACAGTTGGCTTTCTGGGATGGGAGCACACACTACTGGCTCATGTTCAGTTTCCCATCGACCAACACCCTCAAATCCTTCTCTTCAGGGCTGCTATGAATCACTTCTCTTTCCATCCTGTATCTATGCCTAGGATTGCTCTGACCCAGGTGTAGGACCTTGCATTTGGCTATGTTGAACATCATTAGGTTTCTGCTGGCCCACCTCTCAAGTGTGTCAATGTTCCAGTCTATGGCATCCCTTCCCTCCAGCGTGTTGACCGCACCACATAACTTGATTTTTGTCAGCAAATTTGTTGAGGGTGGATCTTGACAAATATGTTAAACAGAGCTGGTCCCAGTACCGACCCCTGAGGAATGCCACTCGTCACTCGTCTCCACTAGTAGTATGAAATGGTTTGAGGTGCACACACACGGTATTGTATAGACTAGTTATTTTAGCCTTTCTGATAACTTTTGAGACATCTTTTTATTCTTTTTTATACAGTTTCTGTGATACTGCCCTTCATCTTGTTTGAAAGAGGTGTAGAGGTTTCAAAAACACAGATTTCATCAGAATAATTATATGGGGAAAGGTAAGAGTAAATTTATGCTACTATTGAAGAAAAGGCAGTCAGTTACCAGGTGTTATATATTCCATTTGGTGATAGGCATCTGGCCAATAAGCAAGTGTCCACACCCTATACTTCATCTACTGTAATATGGATACATTTTATGGCAAAAGCTATAAGCCAGATGTCATTAATCATGCTACTATAGACCAATTTAAAGGAGAAAATCCATATAGTTCCCTTTTTCTGTGTGCCATTTCTTATCCCCTCTCTAGTAGATTTGCTGAAATATTAATCCTGTAGAGGCATTTGCAGATATCTAATTTGGACTGCAGAATTTTATGATTGAAATTAATGAGCAAACCCAATAGAATGTAGTTTGACAGAAGCATCTTAGAGTCAACTTAAAGATCCATTGGGCATATATAAATATAAAAAGTAAATATGAAGCATCATGCTGCTGTTTTTAAGGTGTTTTTTTAGGTTGTTAATTTATGGTCCAAAATATAGTGCTTTATCTTGTTCTTTGTGATCATAAAGTATTTTTGCAGAGCATGTTGTGCAGCTGTTTTAGCTGTTGAAACATTAATTTTGAGGTTTCTTGGGTTTTAATTTTTTTAATTGTCCTCCTAAATGACAAATTAGAGGAAAACTTTGTTGTTTGCTTTCAGTTAGAATGTAGTGAAGATAACATGTACCGCTTTAGTTTTTCTGCTTTAATATTAAATATTTGCTTGTGTGTGCCAGCAAAGTAAAATAAGGAACTCATTCTACTTCCCATTGGCAGGCAGATGTTCAGCCGTTCCCTGGAAAGCAGGGCTTCATTGTGCATAACGGTTCCTTGGGAAGACAAGTGCCATAACTTTGAACATTCTTCCCTTCTTCCTCCTTCCCCCCCGCTTTTATTGCTGAGTGTCATGTCATATAGTGTGGAATATCCCTTTGGCCAGTTGGGGTCAACTGTCCCAGCTCTGTCTCCTCCCAAATTCTTGTGTACCTCCAGAATACTAGCTGGCAGGTCAGTGTAAGAAACAACAAAGGCCTTGATGCTGCATAAGCACTCTTAAAACAGTAGCTAGAACATGGATGTGTTATCAACACTGTTTTGGTCACAAATCCAAAATACAGGACCATACAAGCTGCTATGAAGAAAATTAATTCTATGCTATCCAAAAAACAGTGCAATTGTTAAGATCTGTTAGTATAACCCTTTTAAAGAAAGATATCTGGAGGTATGTGGTGACTATTTGAGAAGATTTTTAAACTCTAAACTAGTTGGTCAGAAATGTATAAGTAGGCCTACAGATTTATGAATGCTTCTTAACCTGAAAGCACCACATACCTTTTAGGTTGCACAGCAACGGACTCCTAGCAACAGTAGTAGATTGAATTTCTAAAAGCAACCGTGTTGGATGTAATAACAAAGGAAGAGTATGAACAGTTGTCATGGTTTTCTTTTCATAATAAAGTAGTTTGAATTTAAGGAACTTTTTGTCCCTCAAAAACAGGAGGCCCTTTGTAAAACAAAGGTACTTCAGAATGCTTCTGGTACCAAAACTAATAAAGGTGTTTAGAATGAGAGTGGCTGTCATGTTTTGGGCTCTGTGTGTGTGTGTTGGAGTTTTGGTTTGGGTTTTTTATTTTTTGTTTTGTTTTGGGATTTTTGGGGGTGGGGAGTCTTGTGTGGGTTTTTTTTTTTTCCTTTTTTTGGCATAGTATTATGATACAAAACAGAAGATAACAAATCATTAAATGGAGCATTAAGACAATGATTGCTTAAGGTGATTTGTAAGTTTCAATTTATCTTGTAAATTAATCCATTGTAGGGCTTCCTAAAAGTCACCTGCTAATCAAGTAAACAAACAGTTTTGAAGGAAATTAAATTCTTTTACTTTGGCATACAAGTCAAACTAATGGAGTTAGAAAAAGACCACTGAAAAGGTTATTTCATAATTGCCTCCTGTAGGGGTTCTTATGTCTGTGTGAAGCTTGCAGTATCAGCTAATCTCATGTAGACAGTTTTTATGTTCCAAAATAAACATGGTCAGTGTTTCATTGTTTTTATTTTTCTGTCGTGGTTCAGCTAACATATTCTGAGATAATTTTTATAACTTTTTTTTGAGATAAATGGTGATATAAAATACTATATTGATTAAAAAAATAATCTGCTAAACATGAGGAAATTGGCTGTTTTAAATCAAACTCTAACCTTTTACAGAGGTTTGTGAAATTCTTGTTAAGATTTGTATAAAACTTTCTGATGGGCAAATTTATTATACCAGTCTGTCAGTGTTTTACCTCTCAAATCCTTTGTGTTAAAGGTGTGAAAAAGGTAGAAAATCTGGGTACGTACACATGTGGAGATGGAATAAAATACAGAAATTCTCTCACAAATAGTAAAATGCATTACTTTGTACAACTACATTCAAGTTTGTTTTATTTTTTTTAATGCTGTTAAAATCTTAAGTCTAAATTAGATTAATACCCTTCTTCATTTCTTGTGTCTGCTTTTAGAGCAGTTAAAGTATAGTTCTGCTAAAGTCCAAAAACTATAATAAAAAGCCAAATTTAATTCTTTGTGACATTATAATTCAGTAAAATGGTACCATTTTTTCTGAATAGCAGAACACTGCCCTAACAGCTTAAAGCATACAGTTTCAGTTAATAAAAGCAATAGTTCTACCTTCATAGCATAGAACAAGAGCATTGTATGGAAATATAAATAATGTTACTCATTTGACTTGGAATGTTTTGTGTTGCATTCTGAAAAAGTCTTTGTTAAATGGGTTGCTTCAGTCAAACTGTGATTAGTACCTTTCTGCTCAAATAGTCCATTTCAGAATGTGGTGTTCTGTGATATTACTAACATTAGAATTCTCACTGCAAAGCAGTTGAAGATGATATATTCAGTAAAAGAAATCATAGAATCATAGAATAGTTAGGGTTGGAAAGGACCTTAAGATCATCAAGCTCCAACCCCCCTGCCATGGGCAGGGACACCTCGCTCTAAACCATATTACCCAAGGCCTCATCCAACCTGGCCTTGAACACTGCCAGGGATGAAGCATTCACAACCTCCCTGGGCAACCTATTCCAGTGCCTCACCACCCTAACAGGAAAGAATTTCCTCCTTATATCCAATCTAAACTTCCCCTGTTTAAGTTTTAACCCATTACCCCTTGTCCTATCACTACAATCCCTAATGAAGAGTCCATCCCCAGCATCCCTATATGCTCCCTTCAGATACTGGAATGCTGCTATGAGGTCTCCACGCAGCCTTCTCTTCTCCAGGCTGAACAGACCCAACTTTCTCAGCCGATCTTAATATGGGAGGTGCTCCAGCCCCTGATCATTCTTGTGGCCCTCCTCTGGACTTGTTCCAACAGATCTATGTCCTTTTTATGTTGAGGACACCAGAACTGTACACAGTACTCCAAGTGAGGTCTCACGAGAGCAGAATAAAGGGGCAGGATCACCTCCTTCGACCTGCTGGTCATGCTCCTTTTGATGCAGCCCAGGATACGGTTGGCTTTCTGGTCTGCAAGCGCACACTGCCGGCTCATGTTCATTTTCTCATCGACCAACACCCCCATCTTTTAACTACATTTCCCAACACTGCTTATTGCCACAATAAAATGAAAGATGTGATCCAAATTAAATATGCATTTATCATACGGCTTCAAGTTTTGCATGGGTATTGTACGGGTATTGTTCTGTCTCTGCCAGTAATGAGATGTTCAACAGATTTCCTGCAGGCATAAATTTGAAATTATAACAGGTGGTTAACAGCTAGTAATATTAAATCCAAAGAGATAGGAAGCTTGATGTAGCAGCCTTTCCTTGAGTAAAATCTCACTGTTAGCCCATTTTATCTTTTTCCTACACTCAGTATATAGATATTAAGGTGGGTTTCAGTGAGTTCAAAGACTTATTTTTGAGGTTTTATACCAGAAATTCTTTAGAAGTTAATTATTTAAATACATGCTTTTCTTTCTCTGTGCTTCTATAATTGTAGCATTTAGGTACTATGATGATATATGTATTTATATAGGATATATTACATAATATATACTGTATAAAATATTATATATATGAAAAACAATTGTTATTTAATTTTGCTTGAAACAGACCCCTGTGATTTTAGATATTAGTAAATACTACTAGACTGGCATGGGAGACACTACCGGAAGTATAAGCCACCACCAGCATAACTCCCAACTTCACAAGGGCACGCAAGCTCTTTCCCCACGACAAGGGGGTGTCCGTGAAAGAGAATGAAGGGTCTCAAATGAAGGGTCAGACAAAGTGTGTCCATGGGCAGGATGGGCTCACTAGCCTTCAGGCAACCATCCTAGGAGAAGGACAACTCCAACTTCAAACCCGGGCAGATGGAGCTCGTGTAGCCCTGTAAGGCCATCCATCTAAGAGAAGGATACTCTAATTAAACCTACGACCTGAGGACTTTGCTGTCACCGTCCAAGCTTGCTAGGCCCTGGCAGATAAACCTCAGGTGTAAAGGGTGAGGCCAGTTCTGCGCACGCTGTGCCTCACCTAAAATAAATCCACTGCGCAGGCCCGAAGGGTTTACCCACACTTGCAAAGCCCTGCAGCGACAGGCGAGGGACGAAACGGCAGGTGATAAGGTGCACTGGAAGTCGCAGACCCAACCCTGCATGCAGGCGGTTCAGGACATTGGTCGCTCAAGTCTGACCCAGGAGATGACAGTCTTGTTCGGCAGCATCCTGAATGACCAAGCAGCCTTTTTCAAGGACAGCACTGCTTGCTCCATATGGAGAGAGGCCTAGAAAAGGTGGCCTAACCAAAGCTCATCTCCCCCTCCACCTGGTTGGCTAGCCGCGGCCAACGGGCATCTTCTATTGCGGTCAATTAAAAACAAAGAGACAAAGGCATACACCTGCCTCCAAAGGTGTGTCCAGATTTGGTCAGGCAAACGCAAAACTGAAAGTCATCTTTCTGGAGTCGGCTTCATGATTAAAAACTCCATCATCTCTAAACTTGAAAATTGCCGATAGGTCATTCCGACCGTATTATCTCCTTACGTCTTCCACTACACAATAAGCAACACGTTGTTCTTTTCAGCATATATGCTCCAACTCTGCAAGCTGACCCTGCAGAAAAAGAAAAATTCTACTCCGACCTGTGTCACCTCACTCAGAAAGTTCCTATAGAAGATAAGATCATAATCCTTGGTGACTTCAACGCCCGAGTAGGTAAGAACTTTGAAGCCTGGAAAGGAGTACTAGGCAAGCACGGTGTTGGCAACTGCAATGATAACGGTTGTCTCTTACTAGAGTTCTGTGCAGAGCAACAGCTTACCATCACCAACACTATCTTCCAGCAGAAAGACAGCTGGAAGACAACCTGGATGCATCCACGATCTAAACATTGGCACCTTATTGACTATGTTTTAGTGCGCCAGAGAAATATTCGTGATGTCCGCCAGACCAGAGTGATGCCTAGTGCAGAATGCCAAACAGACCACCGCCTTGTGCGTTGCAAACTTAATTTCCACTTCAAGCCCAAACCTAAGAGGGGCGGCATTCCGAGGAGGAGGCTCAATGTTGATAATCTTCAAATAGCTGCTGTGAGGGACAGCTTTCAAGCTAACCTTCCAACTAGGCTTGAAGACCAACTTATAGATTCATCTCCTGAAGCGCTTTGGCAACATATCAAAAACAGCATCCTGCAGTCCTCCGTAGAATCCATTGGGTTCTCCTCAAAGAAAAACAAAGACTGGTTTGACGATAGCAACCAGGAGGTCCAGGAATTGCTGACAGAAAAGAGATCTGCTCATCAAGCACACCTCGCTCAGCCACTCTGCCATGTAAGAAAAGCAGCCTTTCGTCTTGCATGTAGCAAACTCCAACAGAAACTTAGAGACATCCAGAACAAGTGGTGGGTCAACCTAGCAGAAAAGACTCAACTATGTGCAGATTTGGGTGACCACAGAGGATTCTATGAGGCTCTGAAGGCAGTGTATGGACCCACATTCCAGGTTCAAAGCCCCTTACTTGGTGCAGATGGCCAAACGCTTCTTACAGATAAAATTTCAATCCTGAATCGTTGGTCTGAACATTTTCAAACCCTCTTTAGTGCTAATCGTGTAGTCCAAGGTGAAGGAATCCAGCACATTCTGCAACATCCGGTGAAAAACGAATTGGATTTAGCCCCTACCATGGGA